GCTGGGTCAGCCTGGAGAAAGCTTAAGGGGAGACCTTAGAGCAGCTCCAGTGCCTAAAGGGGCTGCAGGAAGCCTGGAGAGGGGCTTGGGACAAGGGCCTGTAGGGACAGGGCAAGGGGGAGATCTTTGGCAGAAGTTCTCCACTCTAAGGGTGCTGAGCATCTTCTCAGTGTCCCCTTTTTCCTGGATAATGCAGGTCACCAGGGTGGAAAACCTCCTGGCTTTGGAGCTCAGATGCAGTTATCAAGAAGATGGATTTTAAATGTGAAGTTAATGTAAGTCATTACTATCCATCCTCTGCCTCCTTTTTAAGAAGCCTGGTTTGGGTAGTGCCCTGCTTCCAAGCACTACATCCCTTCTACCAGAGCACAGCAGCAGGGCAATGGTTGTGCCCTGCCCCAGGAGAACTCCCATTGAGCAAAAGAAATCCCTTTTCCAATTACTTCCAGCTCTGCCAAGTGGGAAAATCCCACAGGATGGGTGCAGGGTACTCAGAACAGCCCCAGGACCCCTTGAGCCAAGAGCTCCCAAGAGTCTGGGGTTCACACCAGGGGCACCAAACACTGAGCTAATTTAAACTAATGGGATGCTGCAGTCCCCTGTGCTTCGGGAGGTGCAGAAGGGGCAGGTTGCAGGGCAGGAGGAACCGTGTCTGCCCCTGGCTCAGGGAGTATCCAGGCCCCGTTCCGAGGTTGACAAAATCAGCTCCAAGCAAAGGTGGCCACTGGCTGGGAGTCTGGCAAGGGCTCCTCTTCCTTGCCCAGCTGCCTCAGATAAAAAGCCCTACAAACAGCAGGAGGAAAGGCAAATGAAAGAGCAAAGCCTCAAACTCCTGTTTCTGCTTCCAGCAGCTGATGCAGCTGCACAGGACCCAGCCCAGGCTCGGGGCATGGTGAGGAGGCAGCAGCACATGCACAAAGTCCAGCCCAGTTGCACAGGACAGACAGGTCCAGAATAGGGCAAAACCTCAGGATGAGCAGGAGCCACCATCCCTGGGGACACCTGGGGCAGGGCTTGGTCACTTCTGCTTTAGGAACAGCTGCCAGCCCAGCCCTCACCAGGGATCCCAGCAGCTCCCTCTGCCCATAAGCTCAGGGCAAAATGGGAGTTGAAGCTTCCTTAGTTTCAGGCAGCAGGGCCACAGTGGAACAAACGAGGGCTGCAGTTTCTTTGGGCTGGCCCCAGTGCTGATCTGGCAGTTTGGATCCTGCAGGGGCAGGCTGGGAGACTTCTCCTTTCCAAACCCACAATGCCACACACGCCAGAGGTTCCTCCTGGTAACCAAGGGCAGTACTAGGATTCATCTCAAGGTCCCCTCCAACCCTAACAACTCTACAAGCAACCATGGCACAGAACCCTGCCCTCCACAGGTCCTGTAATCCCTGGCAATGCTGTTCCTGGAGCCGGGAGAAAACCTTAGAGCAGCTCCAGTGCCTGAAGGGGCTGCAGGAAAGCTGGAGAGGGGGCTGGGACAAGGGCCTGTAGGGACAGGCCAAGGGGAATGGCTTGAACCTGCCCGAGGGGAGACTGAGCTGAGCTCTTAGGCAGAAGCTCTTCCCTGTGAGGGTGCTGAGGCGCTGGCACAGGGTGCCCAGAGAAGCTGTGGCTGCCCCATCCCTGGCAGTGCTCAAGGCCAGGTTGGACACAGGGGCTTGGAGCAAGCTGCTCCAGTGGAAGGGGTCCCTGCCCATGGCAGGGGTTGGAGGTGGAGGAGCTTTAAGGTCCCTTCCAACACAAACCAGGCTGGGGCTCTGTGAAGCTCCCATGCTTGGTTGTGGCATGCTGTGGTGGCTCAGGGGAAACTGGCCCCATTACCACAGCACTTGCCCTAACAGGAAGCTTTACACAGGCCCCAAGTCAGTGAGCACGATTTCCTCCTGACTGGAGAGCTGGCTTGAGGGAACTGCTCCCAGCTCGGTGCTGCCTCAGACGGTTTCAGGGAAGCAGATGGGAAATGATCATCTGGTTCTGATGTGCATTAAGAACCAGCAGCATGGGCAAGAAAGAGGGCAGGTGGTCCCCAGCCAGGATCTGCTGTTCACACAACGGAGGACAAGGAAGACAGCAGCACTGCCTGCAGACAACTGGGTCTTTTATTAAGTACTTAAAGTGCTATAAAAACCTCAGGAGCCTTTATACAGCAACTTCATTTCTGCAGCCTTAGCTCTGTTGAAAGAAGCAAGCACAGCTCATTAGTGGAAGTCTTCTAGTGCTTGGAACAATACAGCATGTTTCAGTGGTGGGTACTTACAGCTGGGCACTCAATTGCACCGTTATTGATATCATCAATGATGTCATGTGGGTGCCGACCATCGATGCTGCAGCCCACTGACTGGGCAGTCCCAAGGATCTCCTTGATTGTCCCTGCAGTGGGAAGAGGCAGCTCATCAGTGCTTTACCACAGGGAAAGCTGTGAAGAGCAACTGGGGAACTTCACTCTTTACCTCCCCCATCCCACCTACCCTCCCCTCCTGGGGTGGCTGCAGGGCTCACCAGGGACAGCAAGTCACCTAACACTGGACCTAGTGCACCAGTTTCACAAGGAGCACACTGGAAAGCACCATGTCCACCATCACCATGCTGTACAACCTCCACCAGCGGGCAGGCCAGGCCCGACATCCCATGGGAGCTGTTACACACCACAGCGCAGGGCTCACCCGGCAATGGGAGCAGAGCAGGACTGTGCATCCCACCACAGCACGTACCTGAGAGCTCGCGGGCCAGGGACCGGTGCCGCATCTGCCGCGCGATGGCCACGATCTCGTCAAAGCTGACGCTGCCGCTGTGCTTGACTGGGGAGGAAGGGTCACGTAAGCACTGACACTGCAGCTCCTCCAATCTCAACAATGGGAGCCAGTTTACACCTCAGCACCTCTGCTCCCAGGCTTGGGCACAAAGACACCCATGAGAAGGCAGGCTAGGAGCTGGGCTGCTTCAGCTGGGGAAGAGAAGGCTCCGGGGAAACCCTCTAAGTCCTTCCCAAGCCTGGAAGAGCTTTAAGGCCCCTTCCGACACAAAGCAGTCTGGGATTCCAAGAGTGACTCCATGTCATGAGCCATTTTCTGCCAGCTCACCTCCAGGCTGCAGGGCAGGAACGGTGGCAGTGGCTGTTCTAACCCATCATCAAGAACCCAAATCCTGCTGGGTACACACTTGTGTCTGCACTCAGGGCTGCCCAGACACAGCTGCTCACTGCCTGTTTGCCAGTTTATACCAGATAATCTAAGAGGTGGGAACCCATTCCTCTCCTTCCCCCAAACCACACAGAACTAAGCCAAAAACGAACACTTACTGTTTTTCTGCTTCTTCCTGTCACGAGGAGGCTCCTTCAGAGCTTTGATTATCAGAGCAGAGGCAGAAGGAACAACCTCTATCTAAACAAAGAGAGGTTAATTTTTTCCCCCCTCTGTAAGCAGTAGGGAGCTAAGAGAGATACTGGACCCAGTGCCTGGGAAGCCCTTTCCCAGAGCAGCGTGGCTCTGGTTGGCGCTCCAGGATACAGACTATTGGGATGCAGAAGCGTGTTCCCAGGCTTTCGGCACAGGCCTCCCCACAGCCAGGAGAGGGCTGCTTCCTAGACTGGGTTTCCTCTCAGCTCACCACTGGAATATACCAGCCACGGAATGCAGGGCAGGTATAGTGGCAGGTGGCTACAGGGTTATTTGAAGGTTTGCAGCAATTTCTGTGTGGGTGCAGCTTTTTCCTACTCAGATGTTCTGTACAAAGAACAATTTACCTGAAACAGGACAAAAGATCAACTTTGGCACATGGGAAGGCAGCAGGGAGACCTCAGAGAAGCTCCCAGTACCTACAGGGGCTAGAGGAAAACTGAAGAGGGGCTTGGGACAAGGGGAATGGCTTGAACCTGCCCGAGGGGAGACTGAGCTGAGCTCTTAGGCAGAAGCTCTTCCCTGTGAGGGTGCTGAGGCGCTGGCACAGGGTGCCCAGAGAAGCTGTGGCTGCCCCATCCCTGGCAGTGCTCAATGCCAGGTTGGACACAGGGGCTTGGAGCAAGCTGCTCCAGTGGAAGGGGTCCCTGCCTGTGGCAGGGGTTGGAACCGGATGATCTTACACCCCCTTCCCAACCCACAGCATTCCATGAGCAGATTTTCTCTCATCTCTTGCAGGCCTCAGCCTGACAGGCCCAGGTTCACGCACACACACAACTGCTGCGGGCTCTGAGCCAGCAGCACTCAGAGTGCTCCCTGCACGTTTTCAGGTCTCTCCAGCAGACAGACCCCCACACTGTGCTGTGTGGCACTCATTTTATCCACCTCGGAAGGATGAAGGGCTGAGTGGACCCTGCCGGGACTGACACTCGTGGTTGCAGCAAGCAGCACAGGGCTGAGCCTCGCGCTTGCCCACGGCGCCATCCCTTGTGGCGTTCAGTACCTGGGCTTGCCTGTTCTGGATGGTCAGCTTCACCGTGATCCGCAGCCCCTTCCAGTCTCCCGTAGCCTTGGCGATGTCATCCCCGACCTTCTTGGGGGACTAAGAGTTGAACACACGTTAAACCCCGGCCAGGACTGGAGCGGAGGATGCGGGATCCCCATTCCCGTGAGGAGGTACGTACCAGGCCGAGGGGGCCGATCTTGGGGGCCAGAGCGGAGGTGGCGCCGACCTCCCCGCCGGTGCAGCGCAGGTACACTGCGGGGACACAACGCGCGTCAACCGCGCTCCGCCGGGCCCGCTCCGCACCCCATCCACCCCTCCGCCGCGCGGCACGTACCGACTTTGATCTCGTTGGGGTCGAACTTGGGCGGCATGGCGGAGGATGGAGGCGGATGGAGACGGATGAAAGCTGACAACCAGCGGCCGCGGTGGCGGAAAAGCTGTACGCTCTCCGCGCACAGTAGTTATAGTCTCCTAGATCTCGCGAGAGTTCGAGGTGCAGGGGCGGGCAGCGAGCGGGGCGGGCAGCCTGGCCGCTTGGGGGCGCATGAGCACGGTTCCGAAGCTGAGCTGGATTCTGGGCTTAGAGTGTTTTCTCTATGGTCCTCTGGTGTCATGTGACCTAGGCGGTGTGGCATCATGGCGGCGGGCAGCGGTGAGCGGGGCTGGGCCGATGGGGGTGGGCAGCACTGGGGCCTCGGTAAGTGCCAGGTTTCGCTACGTGCGGGGCCGAGCTCCTGCGGGTCACGGCGGCTGCTGCGCCTCTCGAGCGTCCCCGGCTCCGTATGGGGGCAAGATCCCTCAGGCGGCACCCGGGCTTCTCAGAGGGGCGGGCACCGGGCACAGGGCACCCGGTGCTGCTGCCTCCGCAGGGCCGAGCGGAGCTGGCGGTGCCGAGGATACGCTGTCCGGCTCGTCGCTGGTGCCCATTCTGGTGGCGGGGCCGCAGGCACAGACCGGCTCCGTTCTGGCAAAGTAAAAGGAGGACGGCGAAAGAGCCTTTGGGAGCTGTGCGGAACCTGGGAGGGAGGCACTGCAGGGAGTCCTTAGACAGGAGAGGAGGATAGTGACAAGAAGGGAAAGAAAGGACCGAGAGGCAGAGCTGGAGCTGGTGGAGAGATTTGTTTCAGGCACTGCCAGGGGAGGTCTGTGGCAGGATCAGGCAGAGCCTGGTTATGATAGAGTGCGGTTGGACTGGTGTGGCAGCTCCAGCCAAGAAAGCAAACGTGCTGTGGGAGAGTAAGTTACAAAGCTGCAGTTCGTTTCTGTCTGCTTCCTGAGCCTTGTTCCCGTGCGTGTTGGGCTGCAGGGCTCCATAACCTTGCTGTCAGTGAGCCAGACCTGCAGAGATGGCAGGGACAGCTCTGTCCTTCATGACTAAGCAGCACCTCTGCAGGAGCCCTGCTCACATCCAGACGCTGGCTCACAGCTCCATTGCTGTGCTCCTGAGCGTGTTCCCCAGAGAAAATAAACTCTGTTCTTGCCCAGACGGCTCAGGTCTCCCTCTTCTGGGCTCACTGTTACACTTCTGCTCTTCTCCCACCTTATCCCAGCCTTATCCCCAGCTAACTCTTTCTGCATTGCTGGTTTTTGCCCCTTGCTCTCATATAGCCTCACGTCAACCCCTTTTTCTCCTTAATTTTATTGCTCAGCTGGTCCCCACCTCTCTTTTCCCAGCATCCCAGCTGGTACCCATCTCATTACCAGCTAGTGTCCCCATTTCTTGTCCAGCCTTAGCTTTCTGCCCTCTCCTCAAAACCTGCCAACAGAATCCCTTTTTCTCCCTTGCTGGGTCAGAGCTGACAGGTTCCTATCACCCCTTCACCCACCTGCAGTCCTGATGCCAGCAGGGATCTTGCTGCCATCCATTCTTTCCTCTCTTTCTGCTTCAATTCCTCTTCTCTTTACCCTTGCATCAGCTGCTCTCATTGCACCCAGTCAGGCTGAATTAACAGAAAAACATTCTCCACCTCTCAGTCCTCTCCAGTGACCCGGAAAACCCAAACCCCTGTTCTGGGACGGTCTGGCTGCCCTGTGGACACAGGATGGTGTGTGTCAGTCTGACCTGCAGACACGGTGTGGGCACAGTTCTCTGAGTGCCTGGGAGGGCAGAGAACATGTCCCAGCAGGTGGCTGGGGCAGCAGCGATTGGCTCTGGTTTGTAGTCAGAGTATTTCTGAAGTTAGGTTCTTTCAGCTTCACAGGCAGTTATTCATAGAACCATAGAATAGTTTGGGTTGGAAGGGACCTTAAAGCTCCTCCAGCTCCAACCCCTGCCACGGGCAGGGACCCCTTCCACTAGAGCAGCTTGCTCCAAGCCCCTGTGTCCAACCTGGCCTTGAACACTGCCAGGGATGGGGCAGCCACAGCTTCTCTGGGCACCCTGTGCCAGCGCCTCAGCACCCTCACAGGGAAGAGCTTCTGCCTAAGAGCTCAGCTCAGTCTCCCCTCGGGCAGGTTCAAGCCATTCCCCTTGGCCAAAGTACTAGTCTATTGGAAATTGATTTGGCTTTATAAACCTGACTCAAGTCAGTATAAAATGACTTTAAGCTATGAGGTGTTTAAGCAGAATCTTTTCATCTCACTGTGTGACTAAAATGGAGTAGGTATTCCTGTGTGAGACTGCTGCTGCCTGGAAAGCAAACGAACCAAGTGCTCTGTTAACTTGGGACCACCCCTAAAGCTGAGAAGCCAAGTTTACCTCTGGCACCCCAATTCTTGTGCCTGCCTGGGGTCCCCATGACATCCCTGGGAGCGACTGGGATGGACGGTGTGATGTGCCAGGAGAGGCTCTGCTGCACATCAGGTTCCCTGTATTTTGAACTACACTGGGGTCCTGTTTAGTCCCCCCTGCCCTGGAAGGGGAAGCAGCCGTGCTGCTCTCAGGATTAGGAATTTTTCTTACTTGTAGCCTAAATTTATTCTAGAAGATTTTATATTTGCTTACCATTGGCCAGAATTGACTTTGGATTTAAGTGGTTTGGGATTTGTTCTTGGTACTTGATCTTGATACAGCTTTTTTAGTTGCTATCCTAGAGTGGACCCTGTGCTGTCCTGATCATTCAAAAGCCTTTCTCTGTACATGCTCCAGCTTGACTCAGTTGATCTTGTGCAGGGGTGACCAAGACAATCAACCCATGTCAAGCACAGCAGTGCTTTAACAGGTCGTATTAACACCTCTACCATGGAGGAGTGCTGGGATCTGCCTGCTTGATCAAGTCACAGAAGGGGATTAAACAGCAACAGCTGCTGAGACGATGATGTTTGTGTTCTTCCTTCCATCCCCCCCCCCCATTAGAGCACAGTTGTGTAGCCCAGGCTCCCCAGCAGATGCATACTCCAGGAGCCCTCTGCCCTTCTGTGTGCTGATGGTTCGTGCCACTGAGGCACAGCTCTAGCCCAGACTGAAGATGCCACTTTTCTTCCGTAAGAAGAAACCCAGCGATGATGCTCGGAAGCGCCTTGAATACCAAATGTGCCTGGTAAGCAATGGCAGGGGCTGTTCTGTGGCTGCTCCTGGATGCCCTGTGACTCGGTGCCTCCCCTCTGTTACCGGTAATCCTGTTACTGATCTCACTGAGACAGCAGGTCACCTTCCTAATGTACATCAGAGAATTCCTGCTCTCCCTGTCTCCCTTTGCCCTCTCATCCACAGGTTCCCTTTGTGCTGCTTCCACTCCTCTCTGCCTCTGTGGTTCCATGTAATGTCCTCAACCACCCACCTCCTGTTAGCCTGCATATGGGACCCTATCACTCCTTTCTCCTCTGTGCCCCTTCACTCTTACAGATCTCCCACTACACTTTTCCAACCAAGGAACCCATAACATCCCCTTTCCCACCACACCTGGCTTTCCTTGTGTCCCTCTTTTGCTTCTCATTTGATATCTTTTCTTCCTGTCACCTGGAAGATGAGCTTGTTAGATGCTGCTGTTTGTTTTCCTGGACTAGGATTTAGCCAGGATGCTCTGGGGTGGACCCTCAGCAGGTTGCTCTCATGCCAGTGAGGTCAGCAGAACTGCCTGTCCTGCAGCAGCCACAGATTCACAGTTGCCTTTCTGAAAGCATCTTCTGACTTAACCTCGCTGCTGTGCTGCAGGAGCTGTGGGCTGGTGCTGGCGTAGGGGATCTCTGTGCTCTGCCCCAGAGGCACCTGCATTTTAGAAGGGACAAAACAATGCATATTAGATGTCTGTAATGTGTTTTGTTAAGGAAGGCTTCATTATGTGCCAGTGATGAAACGGCTTTTACTGAATTTATTCAGCTGGAGGGTTTCTGCTCAGTGCCTGTGGGGCTGGTGAGGGACAGCTTAATCTGGCCATTCTAGGGTTAATTCTGTATTGCAGTGTGCTCAGTTTAGGGCCAGGATAACCAGTTCTGAAGACTTAACAGAGGCTGTGACACAAGCAGGTTTTATTGCCTTCTATTGCCTTTAAGAAAATAATGGATGTGGTTGATTTGACCATGGAAATACACTTCTGTACAGAAGCAGTGAGTCCTTGGTCCTTCTTGCACAGCAGGGCTGCTCTGCAGGCCCCATGGCAGCAGAAAGGCAACGTGTGTTTGGGTTCTGTGTACAGCTCAGCAGAAGGCTGCTGTGCTGGGTGAGACAAGCCAGGGACACAGCAGGCTCTTCACGGGCTGGGGTGGCTCTGCTGCTGCTCCCACAAAGCGCTTGAGAACCCAGCATCTGCTTTATGCATCCTTTCAGTTCCAATTGCAGAATTAGGATGTGCTTTGGCTCTTTGTGCAGAAATTCATCTATTGTACTAAAAGGCTTTCTCTGCAGTTTGGTTTCCTGGCTGCTTTTGCTTGCTGAAGCAGCACTCTCTGCTTTAGTGTTGTCACTGAGTTATGGAGCTGTGGCAGAGAGCTGGGATTGGACGTTCCAGGAGGGACAGTGAGTACTTTAGTCAATGTGCAGCAAGGGGTCATGTATTCCTGCATGGTCTAATCCTCGGTGGGGGGGGGGTATCTTCTCTCTTCAGGCAAAAGAAGCGGGTGCTGATGACACTCTGGACATATCCAAATGTGAGCTCTCAGAGGTGGGTTCTCTACAGCTTCCAGTGTTAGCTCCCACTCACACAGTGTTAGAGGCTGATTCCTCTGTCTGCTTCTTGTTACCAACTGTCAGATTTAGTATCATGGCTGAGAGCCTTGAGGCAGAAATAGGTCCACTTCTTCCTGTGTCTGCTGAGCTCTGGCTTTCAGGTGGAGGCTTTTTCCCCCCATTTGTGGGGAGGAATTGCCTCTCTTACCTGATGCTTCAACAAGATTTCTGTCCTGGGGTTTCTTTTTCATTTGGCAAGATGGGAAGGGCAGAGTGGTGTCACACCCTCCACCAGAACCTTGGTAGGACCCTAGTGTGGGACCTCATGGCCTAGCTTTGCTAGTCATAGGGAATTTGTTTGCTAAAGGCTGTTTCTGATCCCAGAGCTCCAAAGTCTGCCACCTGCGGTTATTTTCCTGTATAAGTGAAAATCCCGGTTCCAGGCTGCTGCCTGAGGCTGGAAATCTCACTTCAGCTTGGCTGCTTTTGTGGCAGCCAACTAAATTAGAAACAAGCTGTGTGCTGGAGCGTGAGCAGTCAGTGACAGACTGCCAGGCTCGCAGGGGAGACACAGCTCTTCCTCCTAGCAGCCAGGCGATCCTGGTGAGCAGAAGCCTGTTTCTGTTTCACTTGCAGTTGTTATCATTGTCTTGTGTCCCTAAAATGTTGGTGTCTGTGACCTTTTGTCAAAGGATGCTTTTGCCAAGCAAGCCCAAAGATACTGTGCTGCTCTTTGGGGAGAGATTTAGGACTGTGCTGGGGAGGATAGCTGTATGCTGTGCAGTATGGCTTGGCTGAGACTATGGGATGTTTTGCTCCAAGATCAGAAGCCAACAGCATCTTGTGTGTTGGTTTGTAAGCTCTGTGGGACAGTCTGCAGGCCAGGCTGGGTGAGAAGGTGGCAGACAGAGGATGCACTGAGCCAGCTCCATTCATAGCCACAGCTGGTTTTGCACCCCCAGTGGCTCTGTTTGGATTGGTACCACAAAACTGTCTTCTTGTTTCTTTTTAGCCTTTGTTGTTTCAATAAATAAACTGAGTTTGTGCAGGACCCATGCTGTAGAGCAGGTCACAGTGCTCAGCCTTGCCTGGCAGGGCTGGATTTGCTGGCATATCCCCTTTCTGTCTGCCCCTCCACTCCAGCACTTGAGGACGCTCAATCCTGCCCATTGCTCACCTTTCCCATTGAGCCCTCAGTGTGTCTGCTGAGGTTGCAAAACCATTGAGTACATTTGTATGTGAGTAACTGAAAATACACCTGAACTCTTGAGTCATCAGCACAGTGAATATTAAACCACTGCAGGACTTGAACCCCTGCCTAACCCTCAGTCTGTGCTGTGCACAGCTCTCAGTGTGTTGTGCTGCTGCAGGCTGTTTAAGTGGAACCTAACCAAGAAGTCCTGGCATCCTGGGCCAAGACTGGGCCAGTCATTTTAAGTGTCACTTGTGTTTCATTACTTATTCACACTTTGCAGGTGGATGCTGTAGAAGTGCTTACAAAGGCAGTATCGTGAGAAGCCTGACACCACTGTTCTTTAATTGTTTTTAGGTTCCTTATGGGGCCTTTGCAACTTGTAAAGTCTTGCAAAAAAAGGTAATGTTGCAATCAGAGCTTATTAGCAAATTCCATTATTATGCTTGAGTATTAATGTTGTGTTTGAAATGACTGTATAGGGTTGTTTAAGTCTTGCTGCAGAAGTTTGCTTGTAATGAATTTGGCCACTAGTATGATAATACATGGAGAGCACCCTGGGGAGGAACTAATCCTGTCTGTGTGCTTTAGAGCTAGCTCCTGTGATAAAAGATCTTAGAATCATAGAACCCCAGCCTGGTTTGTGTTGGAAGGGACCTTAAAGCTCCTCCAGCTCCAACCCCTGCCACGGGCAGGGACCCCTTCCACTGGAGCAGCTTGCTCCAAGCCCCTGTGTCCAACCTGGCCTTGAGCACTGCCAGGGATGGGGCAGCCACAGCTTCTCTGGGCAACCTGTTCCAATATTGTTTCTACCTTAGCCTATCTAATGGTATTTCCCATGTAAGGCACTAGGCTCCTGTTTAGATCTTATGGTAAATGTTTGATCTTCTGTGAAAATGCATTTACTGTTTTAATATATGCTAGTGAGCTCTTATACATCCTCTGCAATCAAAACTCAACAGATGTGCTTGTTCTAGATAGGAGTGCCTCTTTTGTTCATGTTTCAATGGGATTTTTCCTCCTCAGGTGCTGATTATTCATACGAATAACCTGACATCTTTAGTTCCAAAGTCCTGCAGCCTCCTGAGTCTCGTGACTCTGAAGGTAAATGTGATTCTGAACAGTTAATCTGCAGTTAATCCATTTCCCTCGCATTCTAGCTGCCTTAAAACACACTGGCCCAATGAATTCCTTCTGTCTGACTGCCTTTGCCAAGAATCAGTAACAAGGTGTGAAACCTGCCTTTCCCAGGTCCACCTCCTTGGTGGACAGATACCGATCACTGAGTGGTTTGTGTCAGATCAGGATCAGTCCCAGGACTCATTTATCCTGTTCCCAATCCGACACTTCCCCCTCAACAGCCTCTCCTGGTGGTGCTCAGAGCTGAGTGTGTTGTGGGGTAGATGCATCTCTCTTCTGCACTGATGGATCATTTGAATGTGAATGAAACTGGTGATGGGGCCATGGCTATCACCCTGCTCTCAGCTCCACCACCCCCATGCTGTGGTTGCACAAGGGGCAGAGTTATTCCAGCTGCTCACATCTCCCCATGGAGAGAGGTCTCCAGGCACAATCCTGTTGTTTCCCCATGCTGTTGGAGCAGTTCAGCTTCCATGGAGCAGCTCAGCTCACTGCTCCTGTGGAAAATGTCTTTCCCTGCCAGGCTGGTTCTGTGGAGATGATTTAACCAATTGGCTCATCCAGTTTTCTGGAGCAGCTCCCTTGGTGTCAGTGCTCTCCCCAGTCTTTGGTTTGTTTATCCATCTGTAAAGGCTTCCGTTTGCCAAAGGCCTACACGAATCAAGTGCTCCTTGAAAACTTAAGCCACTTTTCAATGCCCCATTGGAAGGGAAGTAACTTTCTTTGCTAGATAACTCATGACCTCTTGTCCTCGCACCACGACTTCTTTTCCCAGCCTGATTTGGTGACATCACCCACTCTTCCAGGTTCTGGACCTGCATGACAACCAGCTGGCATCGCTTCCTGCTGATATCGGTCAGCTGGCATCTCTTCAGGTAATGGATTTGTGGCTGCGTCCCAAGTGTTACAGGACAGCAAGGATGTGCTATTTGTTTTATAATTAATCACAACCTCAGTGATGGAGCTGATATTGTCAGATCTGTCTCATTGACTACACTGACATTGTTGAGCTGGCTTATTGGAAAGGGAGAGCAGGAGAAGAGCTGGAGAAGAGTGGGCATGCTGAGTTATATGGTCCCAGCTTAGTGCAAGGGCTCAGTCCAAGTGGCTCACACTGCCAAGCAGAGCAGCAGCTTCCAGTCCTGTAGATTTCCCCAGATACTCAGGAAATGGGGAATAAGATGGGGAGTGCAGCGTGTCGCAGTGCATGCTGAGGGTCCTCTGTGCTCATGGTGCAGCGTTGGGTTCAGCCACTGCTTCCTGCGCTGCCCTGGAGGAGAGGACACTGCTTCCCAGTTCCTGCCTCTGGGCTCAGCACCTACTGATGCTCTGGGTTGGGAGTAGGGTTTCTCACTGCATGTGGCAGCCAGATGTACCCTGTATCCGCAGCTCCTGGAAAATACATGTTTATGTTTAACTCGGAAAGTACTGTCTAAACCTAATTTCAAGTTGTCCTTGTGGGCCTAGAAGTAGTCCCAACAAGTTAGATGTGTAGAAGACCTGAGGCTTGTATAAAGGATCTTTAATGTCCTTTCTGTTGATACCTTAGGTCCTAAACCTCGAAAGAAACCTTTTAAGATGTCTTCCACAATCTATAGGAGACCTTGCCCAGCTCCAGATGCTCAATGTGAAAGGTATGGCTCATGCTTCTTGCTGGTGCTCTGGGCAAAACACTGTTTAATGGTCTGGGTCATGTTGAGCTGCACTGGTAATTACTCCTTTCAACCAGTGCAAGCACCAAATGGTTTGTGCTACAACTGCTGAGGAAGAACATAAGAAATATTTCCATTCAAATAGATGTCAAGGCAGGGGAAATCATCGAGGCCCAAAATGGGTCAGACTTGGTCCATACAGATTTGGGAGGAAAAGGAGACTGTTACAGGGAGCTGCTGCTGAAACAGGGAAGTACATGGAGGGTGAGGCACTTGGAAGTGCAGCTCAGTTCATTGCCATATCTGTCTGCAGCACCTGGCCTCTGACCCTTAGATATGGAGCCCCACACTCAGCCCCCTTTCTCCATGTCTGATATTTATACCAAAGGGAAGAAGAGTCCATGGTGGGGGGCTGGAACTGGGGGATCTCAAGGTCCTTTCCACCCCAAACCATTCTATGATTCTGTTACAAACATTCTCCTGATAAAGGGCACAGATCCAGCCTGCAGCAGCGAGATGGTCCTTTTGGCATGAATCACATGCCAAAATGTGCCTCGCATTGCTGGACCTGCGCACTGGCACTGTGTGCAAGTAGATCTTGATTCCCAGGTGCCTTGGTGGGCAATGGCAGCCTTTGGAGTCCTCCCTCAGCCTGCAGTAGAGTGTAGAAAGTGAGACGTATGTGTGGCTGTGGTCTGGGGTTCCAGGAGGGGAAGTGCGGGGTCAGGCTTTGGAAGGGTTCCGTGGCACCAAGCGGCTGTTGTGTCTCTCGAGGTAACAAGCTGAAGGACCTGCCCGTGACCGTGAGCGGCCTGCGGAGCCTGCGCGCCCTGGACATCAGTGGGAACGCGGTTGTGGAGCTGCCACGGGGGCTGGCGCACATCCGCACACTGGAGGTGGGCACCCAGCCCCTCTGCTCCCCTCCACAGGCTGCGCCTTCTGCTGCTCCCCTTCCCTCTTGCTCAGAATGGGAACAAATTCAGGGTAGAAAGGGAATGTTGAGGGTTTGGGAGCTGTAACAAGTTGCAACATAGGCGGTTCCTGGGGTCCCAAAGAGCTTTTGTGCACCCTCCCTTCTTTGGTCTTTCCTGACCCCTTTTTGCCATGGTACAAAAGGAGTCCACAGGGAGTGAACCTCAAGGAGTTCCCTGCCAGGGCTGTCCCTAAGAGCACAGACTGTGCCTGTGGGCTCAGGTGGACTCAGCCCCCTTGCACCAAAGCTGGGTCTAAATGAGCAGATGGGATATTTCCAATGAGGATTTTGCCTCTGTTGCTGTGACAGATCCCTGCCTCCCTGTCAGCCCCCGTGGGCTTCTGGCTCCCTGGAGCGCACAGTCAAAATGGGACAAGCATCAGGGTTCTAATGGATGTGTTACCTTCTGGCTGCCAAACTTGTCAGTACTAAATGGTGCAAACGTCAGACAACAGGGCTGACTCTGCCACCAGCACAGAGGATGGAAACAAGTGCTCTCTGACCTCAAACACACAATGTTAGGCTTCATTTCTCTTGTGGGCAGTCTCAGGTGAGGGATCTATGCAGCTTGCCCTGCTGTGTTTGATAAAAGTGGTTCCTTTCTAGGCCTTCCTGCTATGCCCTTCTCTGCAGGAGGCAGCATTAGGTCCTTTTGGTGACCACAGTAGGACAAAACAGCAAGTGGTCCTTCTGTTCATTCTTTGTGGTGCTTCTCTCTGTGCCCTTTGTATCCCCATCCCTTCCGTGCATCATGCTCAAGGGCTCCAGCACACTGAGAAGTGTTGTGCTTGCTTGTACTTAAGCATGAAGCAGGCCCATCTGCATGAGGGGAATGTTCCACTGAAGTGCCAGCTCAGAAACTCCCAAATAATGGACAGTGGAATGACCTCTGAAAGGTGTCAAACACCCAGCAGAAAAGCAAAACCCCATATTTATGTCAGGATTTAGGGTAACATGAAGTTTTCACTCCATAAGTGCAAGGATAACTGCAGTGGGACTCTGGCTGGTCCATCAGGATAACCTGGAGCTCTGTGTGTTCTCTCTTTGGAGACGCTGACCCTGGATGCCTCTTCCATGACCTACCCATCACCTGACATTTGCAGTGCAGGTACAGAGTCCATTCAGCAGTTCCTCTGCAAAGGTAAGCAAGGAGAGTGTGGGGATGGCAGTGAGCACTTGGGGACTGCTCTGTGCCCTAGCTGGGTGCTGTGGCATGTTCAGAAAGTGTATTTATGAAGGACAGACATCACACTGGCTCTGCTTGGGGTGGTTCCTGACTCTCTGCATGCCTGGCAGGCTGGTCCCTGAGTTCTGTGTCTTTGCTGGCAAACAGCAAGACAGGAGCCCTTCTTTGGGGCTTCCTTCTCACTGTCACACTGAAATTGATAATGGTTTTGTTAAGACATCAGAATAACCGGGTCAGGGACTGCCCAAGTGACTGTAACAAGTCATTGCATCTCCCATGGGGTTGTTTTCTCCAGTGGGAGGATTAGGCATTGCCCAGACACAGCTGCCTCGGGACAATGAGATAGACTCAGTAGTCACTTGAGGTCCCTCCTACCCTCCATTTCTGTGAGGAAGGACCAGGCATCTGCAGGCTGACAGGTTGTTAGAGAAAGGTGAAAACCAGGTGGAAGACTCAAGAGGACAAAGACATTATCCTGTGAGCTTGTAATCACTGTGTTTGGTGCAGACAGGAAGGTTTGGTAGGATTTATGCAGGGTAGAGCCTCGCCAGAGCTTGGGCTAATCCCTGAATGAAAAGGACAGTCAGAACTTACTGCGGTGTGGGCAGGAGCATTCACAGCCCTGCAGAAGTCAACGTGCCTGTACCTGTGCGAGGGCAGAGTTTCAATCTGAGCAGCTTTGATCATCTTCCTGGTGGGAAGGGGTGGCACTGTCTCCGAGCTTCTTGTTCCTAAGCCTGCCTGAGCTAAAGGAGCTCTTCTGGAGCCTCATCTGTGTGTGGGGAGGAGCACACTTGGAAGCAGTCTCACACGCCAGCCATGCTGCCAAGGAGGCTGTAAGCACCAAATGGTCTTGTTTTGTGTCTGATGACTTCCAGAATGTGGAATTGCATACTACCCCCCCGCTCAGTACCCGCTCCCTGCCCTGGAGAGTGATGGAGGAGGAACGTCTGTGGATGGGGTGGACAGGGCAGTGCATAAGTACCTGGAGGAGGAGGGCGAGTGGCAGGTGAGGCTCCACTGAGTGTGAAGTCATGTGAGAGGGGTTTGGAATTGTCTCTGCCCCATCAGTGGATCTCACAGCATTTAGCACATCATCCCTCATTACCTTCCCTGCCATGAGGTGGGTCTTTTGGAGGCATCAGTGCCCAGAACCACGCATAGCACCGTGGCTCATCTCTCTGAGAGCTGGGGATGGGGTTACCACTGCAGGCTCCTGGAAGACACATCGCAAAGAACTGTGTGTCCTTGAAAGCAGTGACACAGTAAGGGACAGGGGTGACCATGGGACACAGTGTGTGCAGCATGCTGACGCGTGTGTATTTTGGTTAGAAGAGCCTTGTGGTTCCCAGCCAAGTGCTAGATGCATTCAGCTCTACCTGGGGAGGGTGAGGGTAGGTGCATAACTGTGATAAGCTCTGCTAGTTCCTTGGCATGTACAAACTAGATTCCTTTGTCCCTGGAGAAGGGAAGGACTGGACTTTGTGCCTGTGTTAATTTTCTTGTGCCTTTGGTTGATGTCTTTACTCACTTAGGGGAAGATATAATGTGGGCTACTAATAGCTACAATAAATTGCTCCTGAGACTAAAGCTGATACTGCTTATTTTCAGAACAAGTTCCTGGATTATGAGAAGAGGAAGGTAAGGATGAGCCTGCAGATGCTTTGTCTGCAGCATCGCTTGGCTTCTGCTTTGTTTTCCATCCTTTTATCTGTTTTTTAGCCAAAAGTGAACGTTTGAGAACTGAGTTCTTGTAGACACCCCCCCCTCCAAAGCTGCTCACTCCTTGCTGCAGGAGACATAGGGGAATCTGTGACGGACTTGTCTGACACTTTGTGTGATGAGCTGCAGTCTAAGTCCTACCCCAGCCCTTTGGCTCGGAGTGCCACCATTCCTGCTGTCTGCTAACACTCCTTGTTCCTGTCCTCCATTCCCTTCACCTGGCTGCACTTTTAGTTTGCTCTTCTTTTTATTTCACTGTCTCTGTCTCTTCCCCTGCGCAAGGCACACTTAGAAAGAGTGAGATGTTCCTGTCAATGCATTCACCTTTCCCTTTGGTTAGAGCTGCTCACAGCTGGCTGCTCCTTCACTCTGTTGGCCTCAGACGAGGGAGTCCCCTCTCCATTTGGGGTTGAACACAGCCTTAATTTGGGCCCTCGCTCTGCATTGGCTGTTTCAGTTGTATGGGTTGATGCCCAGGGACTTCGGCTTTGTGACTGTGAAGGGAGCAGTGGGGAGTTTGGAGACTGTCATAAAGAGAGCAGCAGCTTCTGCTTCACAGTTTTTGGGTTCCAAAGGAGAGAACATTTCCATTCCCTAGTCAAGCTCCCATCTGCTGTTGGGCTGGCTTCTTTGTCACCAAGGGGATCACTGTGCCCTGGTTTACAGTTCTGCCAGGGCTTCTTCTTGCTTGGGAAGGAGCAGAGCCAGCAGCTACTGAGCTCTGGCATTCATCTTTCTTCTTATTCCTCTCAGGAACAGAAAATGCAGGAGAAGCTGGAATTTGAGCGGCGCTTGAGCAAGGGGCAGAGAGAGCAGGCTCTGCTGGTCCAGCAGCTCAACAGTCAGAAGGACGACATACTGCAGACAGTGAGAGAGGTTGGTCTCCTCTGGGCAGGCTCCATACAGGACCCTGCGTTTCCCAGACTGACCGTGTCCTCCTTTCCTTCTCCCTTGCTTTAGGACCAGATGAGGCTGGAGGAGGGTCTGACCAAGCACCAGCGCTACCTCGAGGAGGAGCGCCTGAAGCTGCTGCAGCAGTTGAAGCAGGCAGAGCAGGGCATTGCCAGCCGTATCCAGAAGCTGCTGGAGGACAACCAGAGGTGCGGTCCCGAGGGGTTTGCAGTGATCTCTGCCCCTCAGGGGCTCCTGTTGCTGTGTTCCGTTCTGAGCAGTTCATTTTGCTCTCTGTGAGTGTTACGGGGCTGGTCACAACCGGTGTCTGCAGGAGTTGAACTGCCAAAGTCCCATTTAAAAGAAGTGGAATCTGCTACATTACAAAGTGTTTCACACATAGGTGTGCTGTTGGAGTTTTGCAGCACTGGAAAAAGCCAGGATTCCTCATGGAAGGTGCATATTTGAAGTATTTGATGTGCCTAGCACTGCTGCAGACACAAGGTTACCAGTCTGCCTAAAGCTGCTCTTCTGCATGTGAGAAGCAAAGTCATTTTCTGCCCTGGGGAAGTAGGATGTCCTGCTCTGCTTGATGGAAACCTCTTGTTTCCTCTTCTTTTTTAGACAAAAACAAAGTTCAGACATTCTGAAATCCTTGGAGAATGAGAGGTGAGTCTGCTTGGAATAGGCTCTTCTATAAAAGGGGAGGGAAGCTGAGAAGTGGTTCTGGGGTCTTCCTTTCAGAGCCATGCCTGAAAGTCAGGAGAAGCTATGCAGAGCCATGCACCTTAAGTCAGGAGAAGTTTATCTCATACCTGCAGCTGGTTCTGGTCACTATTGGAGGCAGGACACTGGACTGGCTTGCCCAGTCTGACAAACCCAATGGAATGGTGAATTTACCTCTTTTTCATCTGTGAATGTCCTAGCTAAGGATTTTGGGAACAAAACCCTGTATTCCGCTATCAAGGAATCCTACATTTGTTGGAAAGCAAGGCATTTATGGAGGGTAATGTGTGCAGGCTGGGAGGGATACACTGAAAGCAATGCTGCCATTCAGCCAATGCTCTGAACTCTCCCTCCCTTCAGCCAGCTGTGCTGTGACACAGTAAACTGGGTGAGGAGACTGACCAGACTGAAAACAGTCCCTTTGTACGTTTGATAGTTTTCCAGTCACACCAGTTCCTGATCTGGTTGGTGGGGTTGAGTGTGTGCTAGGGCAGGGGCAGAGGAGGTGGGGATGGAGGCCAGGCTGCTGCTTTCAGTGGCACTGCTCAGTTAGGTCAGCTTTAAAGTGCTCCTCAAGCCTTAAGTAAAAGGAAAGTAAAACAAGGGACCAGTGTGGTGTTGGTGGGAGTGGATGCACATTGACTGTCTCTCAGAAGGATCAGCATCCCAGTCTAAGAAGCAATTGTCCCCATGGTTTTGAGCAAAATTTATGTTGTCTCCCATAGATTTAAGAGGTTCCTCACCAAGAAATCATGGAGACTTTTGTGTCTCTGATGAGCACGTGGCTTTCCTGGGCCACTGGCAGGGTGAATCTGAGCAGCCCTTAGGCTCTGAGGTGGGTGGGTGGAGAAGTGAGATACTTGTTTAAAGAAGTGGCTGAATTGTTCTTGTTTGTTCAACAGAATAAGGATGGAACAGCTGATGGCAATAACACAGGAGGAGACAGAGCAACTACGCAGAAAGGAAGTGGCCGGTATGTCCAAACAGCTCTTCGGGGTCTTAAGGTGCAAGAGAGACCTGGTTCCCCTGGAGATGTCCTGAATAGGTGACGTGGAAGATGCTGTGTCACACACACATTCTTGCTGTGTTGCTTGGTGCATTGGGGTGGAGCTGCGGTGGGTAGCACTGCACATGTACCATAGCTGATCCCACACTTCCACTTCAGCTCACTGCTGGTCCTTGAGGTGCAGGCTGTGCTCATGTGTCATAGACTCATCGAATGGTTTGTACTGGAAGGGCCATTAAAGCTCCTCCAGCTCCAACCCCTACCACAGGCAGGGACCCCTTCCACTGGAGCAGCTTGCTCCAAGCCCCTGTGTCCAACCTGGCCTTGAACACTGCCAGGGATGGGGCAGCCACAGCTTCTCTGGGCACCCTGTGCCAGCGCCTCAGCACCCTCACAGGGAAGAGCTTCTGCCTAAGAGCTCAGCTCAGTCTCCCCTTGGGCACCTTCAAGCCATTCCCCTTGGCCTGTCCCTACAGGCTCTATTGCTTTTCACACAAGGAGTTTGTGAGGCTGGATATAAGCACACAAAGTGCTTCATATTTCCAAGGTACCAAACACATGTTAACTGATGAAGTTTATGAGGCAGGAGGTGGATGGTCCTAGGGAGGCTTTGCTGCTCGTGATGACCACACAGGTGATAATCACTGGGGTTGCAAGGGAAATGGTGTGGGTATGTTATCACCCTGAGGATGGGTTACTCACAGTGGGACAGGCAGAACTGCAGCCATCTGAGCTTCGGTAGAGCAGTGACTGGGTTCCTCCAGGCCCTGAAGAGGTGCCAGCGCAGGCAGAGCAGAGTTTGCTCAGCTGATTTCCCCCAAGATAGCTGTGATTCTTGCAGCTGAACCAGTCTGCCCTGAAAGGAATGAAAAGGAAAAAGAGAGGGCAGGCTGGAAATGAGAGGAGGTCACTGTTACCTGCAAGTGTAGCCTGTTCTAGACACCCTCTTTAACGCAGACTGACAGCTCTTCTGTCCCCCAGCTGCCATGCAACAAATGCTGGCCGAGAGCTACAAGAACAAGCTCATCCAGATGACCAACGAGTCTCGTCGGCAAGACCTTGTCAACCAGGCCTGCTCCAGGTACAGGGAGAGGTGGCTGGGGCTGGTGGTACTGCCATAAATCCCTTTCTTTCCAGCAGTCCCTGGTGTAATTCCCATATATACACACACCCAGGAGCTCCTGCAGCCACTGGAGTACAGCAGGACAGTGGTGAGAGCAGATGGCACTGCAGTTTGAAGAAACTATCGAACTCAGTTAAATGAACCAAGTTCTGATCACAGGGATCTGCATGTTCATCGTACCTTTGATGAACTATCACTTTTTTACACTGTTTATTTGACTTTATACATTCTGCTGAATATGGAGATGAAATTAGACTGGTTTTCCTGGTTTGTTAGCCAGCCCAGGGTCCAGCTCCAGCACAGGATTCCTTTCCTATCTCCCAGTGTTGTCTCAAAGGTGCTGTTTGTTCATATATAGGACTTGCTGCATTGCTGCAGGTGCAGAGAGTGTTCTGGCCTGCTCTGTTTACAAGAGGTAAGAAAGAGCTGAACAGAACCAGCATCGTGTGCCTGTGACCTGCCCAACAGGGGAGTGGGCAGACACTGTCCTGCCTGCAAGTGCAGGCAATACATGGCTGGCCACATTGTCTGGGTCTCCACCATCAGCACACCCTCTGCAGTACAGAATGCCAACCAGCAGCTTGTTGGGGCAGCAGCAGCCCTGGTTTGGGCCTCAAGCTGTGCACCTGCAGGCAGCAATGCAACTGCTCTGCCTGGCTCCGTGTTGCAGGTTTGGTCTGGTTGTAGGGAAGGAGGTTTGAACTCTGTCAGCCTTCAGCTCTGCAGTGCCAGGGCTCTTCCCCCTTGTCCAGTAACACATTTCCCCTTTCCTGGATTCCTTGTTTGCTTTTCCTCTTGTTTGCATCAAGAGTCTCAGCCCCAGCAGTAACTCCATGGCAAATCCATCTTCTTGCAGCCTAGCTGAGATGGATCAGAAGTTCCAGCAAATCCTGGCTTGGCAGCAGCTGGATCAGAACAAAGCTGTCAGTCAGATCTTGCAGCAGGTAGGCAAAGGGGGGTCAGGGAAAGCAGCTGCTTGTGGAAGCAGGGCTGGGAGTGGATCACAGAAGCATCAGTGGCTGTGCTGGGCTGATGCAGGAGGGATTTTATGTAACACTGTGCTGAATTTTGTGAGCCTCTTATTCTGACAAATTGACTTGGGGGGCTGAAAGGAAAATGCATGCATTCTTTAAGAAGGCGACGGCATAGACCAGGAGAAGCAAAACTGGTCTGTGATCAATAGCGAGGATGTTGAGGCAGAACTCCTGTCTTTTTGGCAGGTTTCCTGGGTGGGATGGGGCATTTTAAAGCCTTTGTTCTTTCTGAATACCTCATTTTGAACCCAAGACCTCTGCAGCTCATTTTTCAGTGCTGGGCAGCCCTGTCCTATTGCACAGCCTTGGGGCTCAGTGCTGCTGAAAGCGAGAGGTGGGCTTCAGACAGAGCATTCCAGATGTGTGATGGAGAACACGAATGTTAGCTCTGTGTCTATCTGTTAAGTGGGGTTTTGCCTTTTGGGACTCTGGGGTCCAGGACATGGTGTAGTCAGGGCACTGTTACCCAGGGTCAGCACTGTTCAGGTGCTTGTACAGGAGTCACTGCAAGGCACCAGAGTCTCACAGCCTGTTTGCAGCTGCATCAGCAACCTCACTAAGCAGGATTTTGCCTGTCCCTTAGATTGAGATGCAGAAAGCTGCCTTCGAAGCTCTCCAAGTGAAGAAGGATCTTATGCACAGGCAGATCCGGAACCAGGTGGGTCAACAGCAAAGAGCAGCTCAGCTCATACGCCATTCGATGAGACCCTTCTGAGGAGGATCAAGACACTGTGAGCACAGAGTGGGGTCTGGAGGCAGTGAAGAGCTCTTGTATTGCCGAGAGCTCTGTACCAAAGCCTTGGGCTGTGTTGGTTAAACTGCAGTCTCCCAGCTCAGTGCAGATTCATGGAAGTAGTGGAATTGCCATTGCTTCAATCATCTCAGCACTAATGTGGATGAAGTGCTGGAGAGTTGTCACTAGAGGACAGACCTGCACTGGCTCTGCTTGGTGACTTGCAATTACAAGGGTGATTTCCTTCAGGTTGTGCACTTGGCAGGGCTGCTGTTTCCACATGAGTTCATTGCATCTCCATCTAGCACATCAGAACTGCACCTTCAGCCATAAGTTCACCTTTCCTTTCCCATTCCCAGCCTGCCTTTCTGAGGTCCATTCTGCAGAAGGTGCAATGCAGTAGCTGGGGGAAGAGCAAAAGCTGGTGGAGAAAGTAGCGGTGGTTGATGCAGGCGGATGGGGGCTGGTTTCTGACACAGTGCTCCAGAATCTTTCTGCTCCTCATCTGCACTAACAGAAAAGTCTCACATCAGGATTTGGTGGATGAGCTTAAGAGATGGTTACACTGAGTCACTCAGTGACCAGTCCCTCTAGAAGCCTATGGGTTGCACACAGACAATCCAGGATCTGAATCTACCAACTCCCCATTGCTCATGTTCATCAATAAGAGCCTGCAGTTTGCTCACATTTGTAAAGAGGGGGAGTCTGTGCCTTGCTGCCATGGCTGGACCTTTTACTATTGAAATCCAGCCAGCCCCCAGCATCCTGCATGGGCTGTGAGCGGGCAGGAGCCCTGGGTACCCCCTGCTGCAGAGCCCTGGTGTCAGCTGGACTTCCATGGTCATGGCATGCATTAAGCAGCATGGCCTGGGGATGCAGCTGGCCTGGCCGATGGGTGAGCTGGGCTCTCATCTTGGCTTTGCTCTGGGATCTTGGGCAACTCACTTCACCTCTCTGTGTCCAAGTTGCCCCACCTGAAAGAGCACTGATCATTATGGGGCTTGCTGGAGCATCTGGAAAGCAGGATCCTGCCCCAGCTAACCTGCAGACCGAGCAGCGGTGCCAGGGCTTTGACCATCGGTTGCTGCCTTCCCGAGTGGCTGCTAAAGGGTTGGCTGAACAGATTGCAGTGTGCTTCTAGACCTGAACAGAAGGCATTTAGGGAGACAAGGAGAGAGCAGGGACACAGCTCCTCAGGCAACCACCAGAGTGACCCTACGAGCATGCATCGTGGAAGGGCATTAGCAGTTTCCCCGCACACCCGGGTGGCTCTGCAGTGCTGTCCCTCCCCTGGCAGCAGTTAGACCTTGTCTTAGAGCATCAATGGAAGTCATGTCAAATGTCAGTAAAAAATGTTTCATCTTCTGTTTAGATTAAATTAATAGAAACAGAGTTATTGCAGCTGACACAGCTGGAGTTAAAGAGGCAAGAACTGGACACAGAGACGCTGCAGGTATGTAGGGCTCTGGGGCTGCCCCCACCTTCTCTCTGCTCTGGGATCGCAAAAGCTCCACTTCCTGCTTCTGCTCCAGATGGTTTTCTGCTCAGTCAGGAGGGGACTTACCCCCAGGACACCACAAACCCCTCTTTGTTGTGGGATCATCACTGCTGCTCCTCATCCCAGTGCATTTCAGGGCAGGGACAAAGCAGGGGCAGATCCAGGTTTGCTGGGCGGGGAAGGATTTGGGGATGCAGTTGTTGGCTGTCCCAGGAACACCGCCTGCTGGGCATCGCATGTTCTCACACTGCTGTGTTGTGCTTTGGTTCTGAACACCCGCCAGTGATGGCTGTCAGCTTTCCCCTTCGTTCCTAAGCCCTGTCTCCCAGGCTCTGCCCCACCATCCCACCATTTGAGGGGCTGACTCCAGCAGCAGCCACACATTGAGGAATGTCAATGTTGGCTTAAGCTGCTTGGCTTTAAATTCTGTTACTGCACCTTTGCATCAGTTGTTGTCCCGTGTGTGCTGTTTGCCAGGTCAGGTCACCTCTGCAGTCAGCCCCGGAGCAGGTAGCAAACAGCATGGACTTTCCAGGTGGTGCACAGAGTGGGTTGGTGGGTGCTGGCTTCAGACAGGACTGCCTCTGGGCCCTGAGCTGGGCTCTGGGGAGAGCCACATTTGAGTTCTGCTGCCTTCATTCACACAGCTCCTCCATGCAGTGCTGGGGGGCCTGATGATGGGGGACAGCCCAAAGTTCATGCAAGGAAGAGCAAGGAACCTCAGGCAGGTGACACTGGGCTGGGGTGACCACAGGAGCCTGGTACCCCCCTGCAGCCCAGCAGCAGCATGGGACGGTTGCAACTTCAGTGCTGGATGCTGAGAAACAAGGCCCAGACGCCTTCATCTCCCTGCATCTCCCCTGCCCTTCGGTGCTCTCCAGCCCGAGGGTTCCCCGCGGGGACTGAACCCCAGTGCAGGGGCAGTGCCCACAGAGCTGCCCCGTATCCCCTGCAGTGGAGGGATGCTTCCTGCCCAGAGCACAGGGGCTGTGGTGAGGAACTTCTTTAACCTCTGACGAGCAGGAAGAGGCAAAGGCCCCCTGAGCAAGGGACGTGTTTGCTCAGGTCTATTGCAGGTCTAGGGAGCAGCCTGGGGGTGCTGCAGTGCGGGTGGGCAGTAGAGCACATCTGGGGGTTCACTGGAGCCTCCTGGGTGCTGGCTGCTTCAGCTGGGGCTGATCCCTGCAGAGATGCCCTGTGGATGTTCCTGAGACAATTCCCCTCTCCTCATCTCCCAGCTCAGTGGCTCAGTGCTGATTTACCTTGCCTGGCACCCACGGGGCTTGGTGTGAGACCCCAGGGAAAGCGAGCTCCCCAAGGGCATGAGGAGGTTGCTGCCTTACCTGTCCCACGTGCCTGCAGGCTCTGGACCTACTTCCAGGTGGTCTTCCTCAGCTAAGGAGGGGAACCACAAACCCTTGCAATGCCATTGACTGAGCTTGTGAGGGAGGTGAGAGCTGCTGCAGGTCCTGGGCTGCCTGGGGTGTGCTGGGGGCTGGACCACGAGCAATGGTGAGTGCAGGACCCAAAGGAATGGGTTCAGCTCGGCTCTGCTGGGCCAGTTCCTAGGAGAGGATCGGGGCTCTGCTCCAGGGCTGAGGGATGTGGAGCTCAGGCTTCACCTCTGCTGTGTCTGTGCTGGGTATGGTGGGTGCTGTGCTGGGAAGGAGGAGATGTGGATGTCAGAGTCCTTCTGTTGCAGGGGGTGATCACAGAGCAACGGCAGGCTCTTGGCTACCTGCTGCAGCAGCTGCTCAAGGAGAAGAAGCAAAGGGAGGAAGAGCTGCAGCAGATACTGGTAACAAAGGCTCTTGATTAGGTGCTGTAATGAGGGAGTGCATGGGCTGGCTGCAGGGCAAGGGTACAGGGGTCAGCATGGGAATGAAGGGGGGCTCTGAGGGCTTGGGCCCCCATGCAGAGGGCAACTGAACCTCAGGAAGTGCTAATGACAGCTCTCGGGGCAGGTTGCAGTGCTGCCATCAGAGCCCCGCAGCCAAAGGGAGCTGGGGTGGGGGGAATAAGCACGATGCCATAGGTGCTCTTGTAAAGCAGAGACCGCCAGCCCCTGCTGAGCATGAGGAGGCCGGGCTGCGGTGCCTGGGGCAGCGAGCAGAGGGGATGCACAGCCCTGGGCTGGCTGCAGAAGGCCCCGAGTGCCCATGTTACCCCAGCTGTGCCCATCGCAGTGCTCTGAGCGCACCCTGCACAGCCCAGGCCCTCCCTCGCATCCTCCTCCCGCATCCCTGAGCACCCCCCGCAGTGTTCCCTCGGGCTGTGCAATGAACCAGTTTGTTTTGCAGCTGGAAATGGAAGCAAAGAGCGAAACCCAGCAGGAGAACTACTGGCTGATCCAGTACCAGCGCCTGCTGAACCAGAAGCCGCTCTCGCTGAAGCTCCAGGTCACTGCTCAGTCACTGCTGGCCCTGCAGCTGTGCTTGCCCGGCTGCAGCCATGGGCACGGAGCCCTCCCAGAGGCTGAGCAGCAGCTGCTGCTTTGCCCACCATGCCCTGAGCAGGGTGCCCAGCAGCCCTCTCCCAGTGCCGTGTATTGGAGGTTATGGGGCTGCCTGGTGTGTGAGGAGCCAACACCTCCATCATCTCGTTGTCAAACTGCTTGCCAGGAGCAGAGGGCTCCCTGTGCCTCCCAGATGGGGCCTTTTGTCCCTTACCCAAATTCCCTTGCCAGTCCTGAATGCAGCAGCTCCGGTCCATCCCTGCCGCAGACTGAGCCAGGAGTCTGTGCTGCTCGAATCCAGCCACAAAGAGATGGAGCCGAGCTCTGCCCGTGCTGTGTTATCAGCTGGCGCTGGCAATGCTGGGGCTGCTGCAGCCACCCGCAGTGTTTCAGTCTGCCCTAAACACGTTTTGAGCTGTGCTCATAAAACACCTCGGGCCAGAGCCCTGCCGGCTCTTCAGAGCTGTCTCCTGGGGTGCAGGATGCTCTGAGCAGAGCAGAGGCAGGGCTGAGCACGCTGCCTGTGCCGCTGCCTGTGCTCAGGGCCACGTCTCGGGCTTGTGTCTGCAGGAGGAGGGCTTGGAGCGGCCGCTGGTGACCCTGCTGACGGAGCTGGCTGCTGAGCAGTACGTGCCCATCTTCGCCCACCACCGGGTGTCCTTGCGCGCCCTCGGCACCATGAGCGCCAGCGACCTGCAGAAGGTGCGAGGCAGGGGGTGCAGGGAGCGGGGTGACCCTGACCCCGCGGTGCCCGCGGTGCTGCCCAGGGCAGGTCCGGCCGGAGGCCGTGGTCACGCTCCCGGTGTCGGTGTCGGCCCCAGCAAGGGGAGGTGCCAGAGCTGCTCTGGGCCATGCCGGGATGGAGCTCTGGGCTGAGCTGAGCCTGGGCTCTGCCTTTCGGCATCCCCCAGATGCGCCTTGTAGTAGGAACGGCACCGGGGGATTTCCCTTCTCTGCTTTCACACCCCATGGAGGCGCTTCCCCTGGCATGGCGGGGTCTTGCCGAGTGTTTGCTCTGTCCCCCTGGGGCCACAAGCGTCCTGTCCCCTGCGAGAGCTGAGACCCCCCTCTTGCACTGCAGATTGGTGTGGCAGAGGCCGGCCTGCAGCGTGCCATCCTCCAGCGGGCCCAGGAGATCCTGGCTGTGGCCAAGACCATCCCAGGTACCTGGTTCTTGTCTGTCTGGTTTCTCAATGCGTTTGCCACTTACAGCAGGTACCTGAGCCTTGAGGGGGGGAATGTGTGGGACCAGATGCCTCCCTCTGGGGAGCTGCTGTGCGGAGCACGGGCTGCAATGTCAAGCTGCTCCCATTGACTTCCCTATTTACTGGATCCCTCAGCACCCATCTTCTTGCAGTCACCCCCATGCCCATGGGGTGGGTGGGAGGTGGGCAGCACTCCTGGTGCTCAGACCTCCTGCCTGTGGTTGCAGAGCTGCTGAGGACGGAGGACACCGAGGTCCCTGCAGCCCCAGAGCCCAGCGCTCCCTGGGAGGAGCCTCCGAGCCCTGTGGTCCCGACGGCTCCGCTGCTGCAGTGGGATGAGAAGAGGTCGGAGTGCGTTGTCTGCATGGAGCAGGAGGTGAGACCTCCCACACGCATGGTGCTGGAGCAGGGGTGGAGTGAGGGCAGCAGCCCCATAGCCCTGGGCAATGGTCCCTCAGCTCCCTGGCACAGCTGGGTGCAGGCATCACCATGGGGAGTAAGGCAGGGCAGGGCCGGGCTCCTTGGGGGCTTGGGAAGGGCCTTGCTGAGCTCCTGTGCTGCGTTGTCCATGGATCAACCGTGGGGCTGCCCAGTTCAGCCCTGACCCGTGTCCCTCCCTCAGACCCTCTGCACTGGAGGCACAGCCCCATCACTGGAGATTGGGGTGCAGGGCTCTGCCTCCCCTGCTCTGACTGCCCCAGGTGATCCCCATCCCCTCCTGTGCTGGAGCACAGTGGTGCTGGGAGGAGCGTTACGGTCCAGCACCGCTCTCCATGTCCTCGTCTCTGTCTCTCCTCCAGACCCAGATGGTTTTCCTGCCCTGTGGCCACGTCTGCTGCTGCCAGAGCTGCTGTGAGCAGCTGCTCACTTGTCCCCTGTGCCGCAGGGACATCGCCCAGCGCATCCGCATCTTCCACAGTGGCTAGGGGCAGGGGGAAGGAGGACGAGGCTGCCCCCACTGCTGCTGCCAGCCCTGCCTGGGGTGACGCCCCTCTGCTGCTCCATGTCAGTGTCAGGCACTCGCACCGTGATCAGCACTGCCCTCCCCTGCATGGCCTGGGCTGGCTGCAGCTGCACACGGGTGTCTCAGTGTCCCCCGTGTTCCCCGATGGTTGCTCAGCCTCCCCCTTGGGTTCCTTCTTCACCTGCATCCCCTCTCCTGCCTGCCCCTGCCCGCCCAGCATCCTCTTGCCTGGCAGTGCTGGGGGATGGAAGCGGGTGCCCCCGTGGCCCCTCTTTGCTGTGGATGTGTTTGCCTCGGAGATGCCCCTCGCTCAGCAGGGGCACAGCCAGTGCCAGCTCTGAAGCTGCTCCCTGCTGGGGCCGGGCACTGCCGGGCGCCTGCATCGAGCACAGTGCCTGGAGTGGGAGATGCTGGCAGTGCCCTGTGCCTGTGCCACAGCAGAGCTGTGGGGCTTTGCTCCAGTGACCCACAGGAGCCTGCCAGGGGCTGCAGGTGCCAGGGCAGCGTGAGGAGCTCCCTGACCCCTAATTCAAGCTCCAGGACTCGAGGGCCTTGCCCTGGCCAGAGGAGCCCAGTGGGGTGCCGGAGCTGAAAAACACATTGGAGCAGGAGCACGAGTCCAGCAATGGGGGTGAGGGGCTGGGGCTGTGTCCAGCGCAGTCCCAGGTGCTTCCCTGCGCTGGTGGTAGGTAAAGCTTCATCAGTAGGAAGGGTGATCCCAGAGCATCTTCCATCTCCTGACCCTGAAGTATGAGATGCAGCGGTAAGCTTGGTCCCACCACGGCCCTTCCCCAGGAGAAGCTATTAAAGAGCAGCTGGTTTCTGCTGATGCTTGTTCGCTGCCTGTTTGCTTCTGCAGGGGAGGATGCTTGAAAGCCAGGGGCAGCGCGGCTGTCCCAGTGTCACCTCCTGTCCCACATCAAACTGGGACAAATCTGAGGGTATTTGGATAGTAGGGGAAAATCCTTCCCTGTGAGGGTGCTGAGGCGCTGGCACAGGGTGCCCAGAGAAGCTGTGGCTGCCCCATCCCTGGCAGTGCTCAAGGCCAGGTTGGACACAGGGGCTTGGAGCAAGCTGCTCCAGTGGAAGGGGTCCCTGCCTGTGGTAGGGGTTGGAGCTGGAGGAGCTTTAAGGTCCCTTCCAACCCAACCCATTCCATGGTTCTATGATCAGTGTTGCTCGCTGCAGAGCAGCTCCAGGGAGTCAGAGCCCTTGGACCCTTCTCTGGGGTCACTTGGTATGTGCTACACCCATGCGGTGCATCCCTGCACCCCAGGGACCACAGTGAGAGTTTCACATGTCCCGTTGGAGAAGCAGGGGACACCCCAGAGCTCCCACTGCACCCAGGCCTGCTCCATCCATCCATCCGTTTGTCCATCCATCCGTTCGTCCCTCCCTCCCTCCCCCCATCCATCCCCTCTCACAGTGCCAGGGACTCGGCTGCTCCCGGCTGCCTTCATGCCCTGGGCGGTGCTGGGGGCTCCGTGGGTGCCAGGAGCCGGGGGCAAGGTCTGCTCCTGCCCGTAAATAAGTGCCAGCGTTCCCGGAGCTGCCCTTTGTCCCCGAGCCCCACGTAGCTGAGTACGGGGACACCACAACTGAGGCACCATCCCCTGGGGGGGGGGGGGTGCAGCTCGCCCCCACCGGGCGCTGGCCCCGAGTCCGCCCAGCCTGGGACCAGTGAATGAGCAATAACGGATCCCGTCCACCCGCATCGCGCCGGGGCTGCGGCCGCCCTTTGCTCAGCTCAACCCTCGGGTGCCATCAGCGCGTCCCCTTGCGCCGGGTGACACCGCGGCTCTGGTGTGGCAGGGATGCAGGGATGCAGGGATGCAGGGATGCGGGGATGCGGGGATGCAGGGATGCGGGGATGCGGGGATGCAGGGATGCGGGGGGGGGGTCCCCCATTGCTGAGCGCCCCCTAAGCTGAAATCCCATTGAGGAGTGCCTCGCGTGCTGTGCCCGGGGGACACCGGCGCCAGCCCTGTTCGTGCAGGGGAAGGTGCAGGAGGTTCCTGGGGGCAGCCCCTCCCCGGGGCGGTGCAGGAGGGGCGCTCCCGGCTGAAGTTCAGCGCGGGCCGGCCCCGCTCAGCACCTCCCGTTCATCGCCCGCCCCCCGCCTTCAGAAGCGCCAGCGCGGGCCGGGTCCCGCAGCGCCATGGCCGCGGGGCCGGAGCCCGCCGGGGAGTGCGGGATCTGCTACGAGGCGTTCTGGGGCGGCGGGGGGGGGGGCCGGGCCCCGCGGGAGCTCCCGTGCCGGCACTCGCTCTGCGGGCGCTGCCTGCGCCGGCTGCTGAACCGCGCCGCGGCCGCCGCCTTCGTGAGCTGCCCCTTCTGCAGGGCCGTGGCGCTGCTGCCCGAGGCGGCTCCCGGCGCGATGCCGGCCATGGGGACCCTGCCCGGGGACGAGGAGGAGGAGGAGGAAGGCAGCGGCGCGGCCCCGTCCCGCCCCGTGGCGGTGGAGGTGGCGTTCGCCGCCCACGGCCCCGTCTTCACCGTGAGCGGGGCGGTTTCCCCCTGCGGCCCCGAGGCCTCGGGCGCCTTCGTGCTGGGGCTGCCGGGGCGGGGGCTGCTGCTGGACACGCAGCCCCCCCCCGCCTCCATGGAGAACCTGCGGCTCGGCTTCGCCGCCGGCATCCTCGTGCTCATCGTCTGCACCTTCTTCCTGCTCCTCTTCCTCAAGTAGATCTGCCCGGGGACAGCGGCTCCCGCAGCCCCCCCGGCAGCCAGGATGGACCCAGCGGCGGCGCAGGGGCGGCTGAGCCCATGGAGGGCTGAGCACGGCCCGGGCTGCGGGGCCGCAGGACCTCGGCTGCTCCGCAGCAGGCCCCGGGCACCACAGCTTCAGCGTTAACCTCTGGCCGCGGTTGGCTTCAGCCCGGCTCTGCCCCTGCCCCCGGGGGGTTCCCGGCTCGGCGGCAGTCCCAGCGCGGGGCCATGGACACCCCCGGAGGCTGGACCCCCCCCCCACACCGCGCCTCAGTTCATGTCCGCGGGCAGCGGGGGACGGGGAGGGCCCCAAGCGCTGCTCCGGAGCGGGTCACGGGCAGGTAAAGCCCCTTCCCCTGGGACGAGCCCGGCGTGGTGCAGGCAGCAGGACGAGGGAAGGGCAGAGCCCTGCAGGGATGGGGGGCATTAAACAGACGTGGGCCCAGCACCGGCTCCTGTTGCGTTTCTGGGCATCCGAGGCAGGGGGGGTTTGCTCCGAGAACAAGGCGGCCGCTTCACCCTCTGCAGGCAGGGCAGGGGCTGGTTTGATAACGAGGGCCCGAGCAGGGAGCGGGGCACCCCCTCACCCCCCAGCCCTGGCACAACCCAGCACATCCCCAGCGAGTCCCTGCCTCCACAGAGCACCCGCACCCAGCCACGCTCCAGAACCTGAGAGCAGAAACAGCCCCTTCACATCGCCCTCCGCAGGGTCCAGCTCCTCCATCACCCCCAGAACCTGCTGTCCCCCCACAAGTCCAGGGCTTGTCTCACCTTCACCCTTCCTGCACCTAAGGCAGGAACAGGGGCAGAGAACAAACATGACTTCTTTTAGGTGCTGAGACTGAGCCCAAAAAACCGAGATCTACAGCATGGGGAAGGGGTTGGTACCTGCTGAGAAGGGCTTGGGGCTGTTGGTTGATCAGAAGCTCCCCATGACCCAGCTTCACTGAGCACCTGAACCCAGAACCCCCCCCTGTGCTGGGCTGCACCCCCAGAGTGTGAGCAGCAGCTCAGGGAGGGGATCCTGCTCCTCTGCTGTGCTCTGGGGAGACCCCCCCTGCAGCCCTGATCCAGCTCTGGGGCAGCAGCACAAGAGGGACGTGGAGCTGTTGGAGCGAGGCCAGAGGAGGCCATGGAGATGCTGCGAGGGCTGGAGCAGCTCTGCTCTGGAGCCAGGCTGAGAGAGCTGGGCTGGGGCAGCCTGGAGAAGAGAAGGCTCCTGAAGGGGAGACCTTAGAGCAGCTCCAGTGCCTAAAGGGGCTGCAGGAAACCTGGAGAGGGGCTTGGGACAAGGGCCTGTAGGGACAGGCCAAGGGGAATGGCTTGAACCTGCCCGAGGGGAGACTGAGCTGAGCTCTTAGGCAGAAGCTCTTCCCTGTGAGGGTGCTGAGGCGCTGGCACAGGGTGCCCAGAGAAGCTGTGGCTGCCCCATCCCTGGCAGTGTTCAAGGCCAGGTTGGACACAGGGGCTTGGAGCAAGCTGCTCCAGTGGAAGGGGTCCCTGCCCATGGCAGGGGTTGGAGCTGGAGGAGCTTTAAGGTCCCTTCCAACAGATACCAGGCTGGGATTCTGTGATTCGATAAATACGTCCTACAAAAGACACATCTTAACCTCTGCTTCAGTGGGCCCCTCCTGCCTCCACGTAACCAGGTCAGGAGAGAGCACAACCCCTGTGAGATGCTCGAGCTCCCTCTCTCCTACACCCTGAGGAAAACCAGGGGGCTATGCATTGATCACGATCACTGTTGGTACTTAAGCTTTTCACACCAACACAGCCAATGTCCCAGCAGGACCTTCTCACCTTTCCCAGGACAGGGATGCAAGAACAACCCCAGACCAGTTTCCTGTATCAAAGTAGTTCTGATGCGAGGCAGAGGTCAGGCCCACTGAAGCCAGACTGAACTAAAACCCAGGCAAGCAAAAAAACCAGGTTTAATTGCACTTTATTTTTCAAGAAGTGAATGCAAATCCCTCAGGCTGGAAACTGTAACAGGAAACAAGTGGAATTGCTTAGTATTGGCCACATCGTTCATTAGGACGCTGCCACCTCCAGGGGGACCAAGGGCCACAGCCAGGTGACCCCAGACCATCCAGATCTCACACCCATCACTCAATAACCAGGTTGTGCAATGACTTCCAGAGTGGCTCCTAGGAGCCCCAGCTGAGGTCAGCCTGTGAGGTACCCAACCTGCTGCCACACAGACCTCATCTCACAGCCTTTGGTCTCTTCCAGTTTTAGCTGCATTTGGCCACTTGCTGCACAGGGACCTGCCACATTCCCAAGCCATGGCTGCCAGGAGGCCAAAGACCAAATCCCTTCAGCGATGATAAAAGGCAGTTTCAAACTAAACTGTAGCAGGATTAGTTGAAGCACTTCCATTTTATTAAGGGAAAGGGGTTACTTGGTCTAAAGACACAAAGACCTGCTTCTAGTTTTAACCTGTTAGTGCCAATGAGCATAGAAGTAAAAGTGCCACGAGGAACCCAATGTGGTGGCCCTGCTGCCTGTGCTCTCTGCCTTCCCCTCTTGGTCCACTTAAACTGAATAGTTACAGCCCAAGCTCCCAGCAGAGCTCAGGTTTGAACCTGTGGTGTGAAGAGCAGCAGAGGAAAAGGCACAGGAGATGGGCCTGGCTGCCTGCAGGAACCCCTCTCTCTGGACACGCAGCACATTACCCAGCCCTGTTGCTGCCTTCACTGCCAGCGGAACACAAGGCAGCAAACCCCAAAACCTCACCTCTGGCTGCAAGCAGAGAGGAAAGGAGCTGGCTGCAGTGACCTGAGCCTCAGGGTCCTCCATAGAACATGGCTGGGGATTTGGCTTCTTGCAACAGCAACTAGTAGATGCTACATCTGTGCTTGGAGCATTGGTGTAACAGAGCCCTGACCCATTACACAAACAGGGGCCCCTGTCCCTGCCTAGAGCTGTGGGTCTGAGCCCCATGGACCACAGCACTCAACATGTGGCAGCAGTGGGGCCGCTCAGCTCAATCTCCCACCACACAGTGTTCACAGATGGTGATGGGATGCTGTAGAGTCCCTGGGAACTATTTCCAGGAGATCCTGACTGGGGAAGCAGACAAGACTTTAGTCTGTTTCTTTTCAAAAGTAGTTCCTACT